CCCATGGCTTTGCCTAGGAAAAGACTGGGGGATTGGGCCATAGTGACCTATCTGTGTAGACTTCCAGGTTCTGCAAAGCTGATATTTTAAAACAGTTTCTACTTTAATTTTGGGAACAGGACTGATGATGTCTTAGTGGGGAGATGTAGATGTTCAACTCACTCAAGAAAACATCATCTATTTGTGTTATTAATGGTGAAATAGTCACTAATGTCAGCATTTAAGCTGGTATCCTAGTAATAAATGCTTAAATGGGGTGGGAAGAGTTAAAGCAATAACTGTGCCTTTCTCCAAAACTTCAGCACACATGATCTTCTCCTGCACTGAGCATGGAGTACGCACATACCCTCCTGGAGGACTGGAATCTGGAAAGGGGGGCTTTAAAGTTCAGCTTTCATAACTGGTCCCCTCTCTCTGCTGTCGCAGCAGTAAAACACGACTGTTGGCTGGTTCCTCCCAGTCCTGCTGCGGTGCTTAAGGGCCAGCCAGATTGTCCCTTTGTTCTGCTCTGGTCTACAAGTGTTTGGTTTTCACTTCTCACTCTATTATACACAGATCTGGACCACTCAACTGGAGGGGCTAGCTCTTTCTCTCTCAGATGTCTACAATCACAAACCTTATTGTTCCCATCCCTACACAATTAGGAGAGGAACAATCACAGCACAAAATAATATTCGACGAACTGAATGCAGTGAACTGGGGGTGTGAGTGTGGATGTACCCATGACGCCGCATGAACGCTTTCTGATGGTTGGCTCACACTAACAGGTTTGAAGCACCCCAAAGAGCATCAGAGCAACATGACTCTTTGCAAATCTTCTGCCCCTTCCAGGAACACCCCCCATGAATAAAGATCTTCTCTTGCCTACATTACCATTGCAACATCTGCTTGGAAGATCTGCTTGATGAATTTGTTTTTTGAGGAATGCACCAGCTGAATGATGTCTCCATGCAGCGTGTCCCTGTTTTTCTCCAAGAAACCTAGAGGAATAATGGGACAACGCATAGATGACACAGTGCAACACGGCCAGGATGGGCCCTGCAAGCAGCCTCTGGGTTGCTGGACTACTGGCTGTTCTCGGGGAGGTAATGGGGGTAATGAGTGGGCAGAGAAAGGTGGGCCAAGAGAAGGAAGACAGATGTGCATCTTGAGACTGGATCAAGGATGCATATGGTGCAAAGCACTGCAATTCTGTCATGGGCACGCACGAGTGAAGGAGCACCAACCTCTGCAGCTCATGGGCACCACTGAAGGGCCAAGTCATTGCAGCCAGAAAAGGAGTACGCTGACACTACTATGGGCTACCATCCTGCTCTGCCCCAACGCAGCAGCAGCTTACCTTCCCCCAGCATCCCCTCACACCTGCAGTGCCCCAGGAGCTGCCCCGTACCTTTTGTTTCGTAGTAAACAATTCCAGCAAAGTGGTTAATACCAAACTGGGTTTCATAGTTATTCTTCGGAGGAATATAGTTGGTGTTAAGCTTGTGCTGGGAGTTCAGCTTGTGTAACATGGTGGCATCTGTACCCTGTGCACACAGGAAAAGGTCTGACGTTTAACCAGGGTTTGTCCCATTAAAATAATTTTCCAATCAATAGTGCATTTCTTTTTTATCTCGGGTGACAATGTGTATTTATTTTGAGAACAGATGTGTTGGAGGGGATATCTCAAATGCAGAAATTAAAGAAATGGATTAAATATCGCTGGTATGTTGTGCTATATTCAAGATAGTGCTCCAAAGGAAGTATATTTAACATTATTTTCTCTTAAACTTTGTCAAAGGCTATTCTTGAGCCTCTTGCAGGCATATTCTTCCACCAGAAATGGTAACTTGTTTTAAGCATGGTTGTGGTACTCATGGAAGAAAATGTGAGAGAGCAATAAAAGCTATGAATAGGTAACCCACTGGCGAATGTGTGTTTGGGGCTGATCAGCCCTCTCATAGGGTGCCAGCATGCAAAGTGCAAAGGGGGTAAAAACAGGAGAGTCACTGGCAGCAGGGCCGAGCCCAAAACACACCTTGGGGAACTTGCTCTCCTCGTCAATGAGAGAGATGATGTTCATGGGTTTGATGGCAATCATGTCCAAGGCATCCTGGTTATCAGTGAACTCGATGTGCTGCCAGTTGATGTTCTCCAGGTTGTACTCCTCCTGCTCTAGTTTGAAGACGTGGCGCACGAAGAACTGCTGCAGGTTTTCATTTGCAAAGTTAATGCAAAGCTGCTCAAAACTGTGGAGGGAAGGTCAAGGAAAGGCCACTTTAGTTCCACCGCGGTCTATCTTTCTCCATCTCTCTCCATGCTTGAAGCAATACTCTCAGACCACGTCAACCACTTAGTAAGGTTGCTGTTGGCTGAGAATTTCCTTATCAGTTCAGATAATCAGTATTTCTTCCCCCCCAAAATGTTATAGCCATTATACATGTGTATCCTAAACCAATGAGTTTAGGAGATATGTTACCTGCTGCAACATAAAAGTAATTAGCTCTGATAATCTCTCATATAGAAAAAGGCTTGGCCTAGCCCAGTCCTGTTCATCTCAGGGAGGTGAAAGGACTGCAAGACCTTGAGCTTGGGGTGGTGAAGCAGGGTTAAGACCTGGTTCTCCTTTTGCAAGCTCCATACCTGTTCACAGTGAAGTTCTCAAAGCCAAAGATGTCAAGGAGGCCGATGGATCTCCTGACACTTTTGAGTTCCTGGGAAGGAGGTCTGTAAATTGCAGCATTGATCTTCTCCACGATCCACACGAAAAGCCGCCCATAAATTCCCTGCGATATCCCAAAGATGGAGGTCACTGAGACAGGTTAGCAGTTCACCCTGCTAGTCTGCGGCACCACTTCACTCGTCATGGCACAGGCTCTCCTAAAGCATAGCCAGCAACCGGGCAGTCCCTGAGGACATGCTCACCAACATTTATGCCAGACTCTCGGCATGGTTTAAAGCTTCAAGAGCTGTTATGTAGATCAAGGAAAATGGACCCGAAAGCCTAGATAAAAGACAACCGAAAGCAAAATCCCAAATTTGGATAGTCCCAAATTTTGGATCTATGGGCTCGCTGTAAAGCCAGACAGTCCTTTCGTTGGTTTCTAAACATCTCTCTCTACAGATCAGCAGAGCCATGTTATACTGCTAGACAAGCCAAGGACATCTCGCCTGGACAAGGTGCTGACTTAGATGTTGCAGCTTCAGTAATTCCAGAACTGCATGTTTTACAGTGTTATTCATTTCTTTTGTATGAGCTACAGCAGTACTACCAGGAGGGGAGTCTGATCCAAAAGCCCATCACCACTAGAGAAGTCACCATCTGGATTTGCAGACCAGTTAGGTGTCAAGTCAGCTAGCCTTATCTACCAGTCCCCCACAGATAGAGTGGAGAGCCCAAGTTGGCCAGAGTGCCCACCAAGGATCAGAGCCATATTTGCAGCGGGTCACCGATGCTTGTTTTGAAACTTTACATGGGGCTACAAACAGCACAGCAGTGATGCACACCCACCTCATCTACCTTCATCACCCCAAAGCCTCAGGTGATGCTCTCTGTAAGTGCTCTGGTGGCTGCTGAATTACTCTATCCCTATTCCTGTGACATTCAGCTTTATTTACTGCTGCAGACATGCCTAAATCCTGAAATTCAGGTGTGAGTGTTACAGGTGTTGACAGAGCTGCTCCGATTTAGAGCAGCTGAGGATCTAACCCTGGGGCTCAAGCTGGGACATTTTCCTGAAGCTGAGGTGAAGTCATTTCAGAATGTTGGCTCCTTCCACAGGTCACTTTTGAGTGTAGACAGTCTCAAGTCCAGACTGCAAATCCCCTGAAGACCAGGCTATCTAGACTCCTTCCATCTCAACTCTTTGTGCATCCTGGTAAAAACATAGTTTCAAGGCCATCTGCTGATCTGAGCTCACACGGGCACCAAGCGAAACGCTTTTCCTGTGCAGTGGATGGTCTCAAAACTGGCAGATTTCTTCAGTTTATCGACAAGAGCAGAAAGGAATGCCCTAAGATTTACCTTTACAAAAGCGTCCCTCACATCCAGTGCTTGTTCCATGCTGAGAGGGGTGGAGACGGTCTCACCCCTGGTGATTATAGTCCGGCTGGTAAGGCAGTTCATCACGTCCTGAGGGTCAACCTGGCAAAGACACCACCAAAACACAGATATTGACTTTACAAGACAAGGTGTCCTTACAACGGCCTGGGCTACTGGCCTGAATGTGCATGGCCAGAGAGGAACACTGCAGCCCCCTGCGGCTGGAGATAATTGACTTTTCTTAGCTGTACAGAGCAGATATCTCAAATGATGTCGGAAGCATTTTCAGAAAGAGTAATTGACACATTTACACAGTGTTTTACTACGGAAAGTGTTCTTGTGACTTAGTGTGAGATGTTAACGAGGTGTGGGGAGAGAAGATGAAAAAGCAAAGCCTGCAAAGCTCTATCCTACCACCATGAATGTAGCTTTACATCTCCTTGACCCCTTTTCATACTTCTGAGATCAAGCCAGGCAAATGTCCACTCCCCTAAAGTACATGAAAACCGCCTGCAGACAGCTGTGGGCCACACTTTGGGACCAGCGGTGCCTATGGAGATGAGATGGTGTCCCTGAGGGAGCCCTGTCACCTGCTGGGGAGGCCACTGAACAATGCTCCAGCCACTGCATGGCATGGATGGTTTGGCTGAGGGTCATCTGACCTCACTTCAGATACACACAGTAGAGGCGACATCTCTTTCTCAGCTACTGTAATGAACTCTCTTTACATCAATGAGGGAAACACTCTATTTTAGAGACTGAACTATTTTGGATGTCCTTTTTAGGATGACGTGCCACCAAAGTGTCTGTTTCTCTCCACTGGTGTGAAGCGGCGCTCAGATACCCAGCTCAGATGGAGACACCCACCTTCACGCTGCCAGTGCAGGGCAAAGTATGGCTTACCTGGGCCTCTTCAGTCTCCTAGAGCTGGTGGTACAAGGAGAGCCTGGCTCAAATGAAGCCTTGCCACAATACTAGAAATATGAGAACAAGCCAGAAAGGGGACAGCAGCACCGCAGAGCCACTGACCTCCAGCAACGATGCCGCAGTGATTAGTGATGCCGACTGAACAACCTCGCAGGCATCCAGGTTGTCATAGGTCCGAGCTGGGGGAAGAAAGGCAGAGGGAAAGCCATCAGTGAGGGACGTGGCCCTGCAGAAGGTGAATGGGGTGAAGGAAAGGGTCTTTCTCCACTGCCATATGTGATGGCCAGGCAAAACCTGTCCACTAGAAGGGAGAGAAAAGTTCATGCAGCTGCTGGAGTCCTGCTGCTGGCTACAAAGGACCTGTACTCTGCTCTGCCAGCCACCCTAAATGACTGATGGGTAAAAACGTTTCTAGCATGTAAGTGCTTTAGGCTTCTGTCTTCCAAAGAGGCTTTTTAAATCACTGTGTCATTTCTGACAGCAGGGTGGTCTGGTACCTTTACAAAGGCATATCCAATCACACAGGCACTTGTCAAACACTCCATTAGTCTCTCCTTGCAAAACCTGAGTCTACTGAATGGCCTGTGGCCATATTCAACCTCCCTACATTCAGAAAAGGTGGATGTCACTGAGCATACTGGAGTCTGGCAGCCCTGCAGGGTGGGCAGGTGGACTTTCTTGTCCTTACACGCCACAATAAGCACCTGAGTCCCCGGCATGGCACCATGGCAGGTGGTCTGGATACAGCCCTCCATCCCTAAGCTTGGCTCCCTCTCACCATGCGGAATAAAGAGTAGAAGTGTGCTGGACAATGTCCCTGTATTTTGTCCTTTTACCTTCGTACTGCAGGTTCCCCATGTGCAGGATGGCAGCCAGCAGCTTGGAGATCTCCCAGTTCTCCGTGTCGGTGAACATAAGGACCTTCATTGCAGAGCGGATGTTGGCGTACTCCTTGCTATCATCTCTGCCATCGCAGGTTGTGCAGTTACCCTAGGGAGGCAAAGAGGTCGCACGGTGTGTGGGGTAAAGCAGAGAGCAACGGGGTGTAACCCTAAGCTATCCAGGGCTTCCACCTAAATCAGTAGACATTTTGTTTAAGGGATGAATAAGCAAAAGATGATGTTGAACCTGTGGATCTGGCTCCGCCCTTTGGTGTATACTATGATTCGGTGCTCAACCCTGTGACCTGCACTTACCCTGCTGTCCCCAGCTACCCTGTGTCTGGCTGCAATCAGCAGAAGAGAAAAAGCTCCCTGAGATGGGGATAAAGAGCAAGAAGGAAACGTGCTGGAGGGTCCCACCGACCCAGCTAGAAAGCTGGGTCCCAGCCTTGCTGATGATGGGCCAGCCTTAGTTACACCTGGTTCTACCAGCTCCTCTGGATTGAGACACTGTTATATAGGCAGTGGGGCTGGAGATTGCTGGCTTGGTCAGACATGTGGAGGAGAGACAGCTCAGCACCGTATGCTGCTGAGAATGCGCCATCCAGCTACACACTCCTCCCCGTCCATCACTGCTGCAAGAGTATCGGGTCATATCTAACACTCTGGTTATTTCCAAACAAGTGGCCTGGGCACCAAACACCAAAACCATCCAAGCTTGTGTCCTGCTGGTCCATACACAGGGGTTAAGGGTTTGCATAGGACTGTGGGGCTTGAGGTGGTGGGACAAAGAAGTCCCACAAACCCTGTGCCTAAGACTTGGGAAGGTCATAACCAGCAAAGCAGCTCTTGGCTGCGGAGGAAGCACCTCTCTCTTCTTTCTCCCTTGCTAACAAGCTCTCACCACATCACCCCACCAAACCTCTGCTTTGCTGCGCTCTCACCATTGCAAGGTAGTTGTAGTCCGTTGCTTTCCCAAGACCCAGCTTCTTCTTCTGCTCCATCGTCATTCCTCTCAGCATGCAGTAAAACACGTGGTAATTCCTCTCATCCTGGGCCTGCAGTAGAAGAGCAAGCGTCAGCTCTGCGAGGAGAACGGCTTCGCAAAGGTCGACTGACCGAGTGCCCGCTCCCACGCCTTGCAGATCTATCACCTTACCTGCCTGCAGACCCGGGACTTCTCCAGCAGGTACTGCTCAATCTTCGCCCCCTCGATGGCTCCCCTTTTGTTGAAGTGGATGTCGATGTACTTCCCGAATCGGCTGGAGTTGTCATTACGGATGGTCTTTGCGTTCCCGAAAGCTGTGGGGAAGAATTGCAGTGGGTTACAGAGGACCTGATGCAGGGAGGACAATAGATCTGGTCTCATGGGGAAAAAAAAACAAATCAAAAGAGTGAGGCTGAGAGGGTAAAAAGCAGCCCCAAAACCTTTCCCTTAAGGTTGGCTGGCTCAATTTCATCTCAGCGTGGGGAAACAGGATATACTGCAGATGACTGTCCTTGGAAATACGGAGAGGAGCACAGAGAAGGAGGCATGGGAACAGGGTGACCTTATCCAGGAAGAAGGGCTAGGACAGCAGGATTTTGGCAGCAGCTGATGAAATACAAGAGGGTTGAGCAAGGCTGGCAGGAGGATGCTGCAGTGTGCGAGGTGACGCTGTGCGGGAAATGACAGAGCTGCTGGTGAGTGATTTGGTGACCAAGCGGGAAAGTAAAGAGCTTGTCCTCTAGGGGAATACGGAGGGACTAAGCCAACCTCCAGCGGGAGACTTCTCCCTGCAAACAGACTGTGTGCAGAGAAAGGTACCCACATCCATCCTTTCCGTGGGTGCAGACCGCTGGCATGAGCGCCCTGGCCAGCTTGCCCTGGCTCCAGGATTGCTGGCAGGTGATGGACGTGCATTTGAAAGACAGAGCCTCTCTTCCCCTCAATCCTAGCAGTGATGAAATGCATGTTCAGAAACACCCTGTGTGCATGCCGTGCACCATGACACTTTACAACGCCTGTGGTCGGGCAGCCCTGTGGTGCCCTGAGAGCCTCGTTGCATCTTCATGCCATGGCTGAAGGAAGCTCCGGTGGAGCACAGAGAAGGAAAGCTCAGCCAGTGACTTACTTGTCTGCTCTGCTAACATCATTCATGGAAAGCAGTTGGGATATTCACATTCCCGTTGATTCCTAGGGGGCTATTTACCAAGCAAAACACTGCTCTGTGAGTAGCAGGAGAGGTAAAAATAATGTTATTCTTTAAGGAAAATGCTATTATTTCTGCATAAGTGTAAAATGGTCCATCTGGCATCATGTTAGGGTCAGGTCACCTATTTAATCTGCAGACATCCAATTAAAACAGTGGGGCTGATCACAGTAACACCTTGCCAATGTACCTACTAAGGCCATGAGCTGATTCTCGTTACCTGGTTCTTTCTTGAACCGGAAACTTTGTCTGCATTCTGCTGCCATTCACTGATCTTGGAAGGAAAAGGTGGGGTTTGCTGCTGTGTATTGCCAGCACAAGGTGTTTAGTCTGTGAATCTCTGGTCAAATTAATCTCATGTTTTGCTGAGCCAGCAAAGAATAGGAATAGTATTTTTGCAATTATGGTCAAATAAAACCAAAAAATTAGTTAGTTGAATATGCAGCATTTACAGGATATTTGTGCTCTGCATACAGTTGTAATTCCAGAACTGGAAGAGGTGGTGAGACTTTTCAAAAGAGCTTTGTGTATTTGGTGATCAGCTGTTTTTAAATCCCAGGCTACACAGAGAATTAGGTAAAATTCAGGTTTATGTTTTGAAATTTTGGGAAAAAAAAGTTCTGATTTAAGTGGAAAAAACACATTTTTCAATTTTAAGTGAATCGGAAAACTGAAAAATATTTCAGGTCAGCTGAAATGTTTCATTTTCAACAATAGTTGTCAAAAATATTAATGGAACATTTGAAAGCCCAAATCAAAGAATATTTGTCTTGTGAAAAATAAATTCAAATGGAAAGAAACTGAATATGCTGTTAAACAAATGTTTACATCATTGCTTTTGATTTTTTTTTTAATTTAGTCACTTTTTGAAACTCAAAATACAACAAAGTGACTTACATGTGGCCATATTTTGTGGTTCCCAAATCTGAATTTTTTTGCCAGCAAAAATATGCCTCCGTCATCCGAGGTCTCACCTTCCAAGATGGGATTTGCCTCCAGGACCTGCTGCTCAATCCAGGAGTGCTGACCGCTGATGGCCGCCAGGAACTGCAGAATCAGTTTTGTGCTTTCTGTCTTCCCTGCTCCGGATTCACCGCTGCAAGACAACAGGAATTGATGTCAGTGAAAGCCCTGATCTGTCCCTGCTAACGTCCCTCTCTCTGTCTCCAAAGGGACTGATATCTCTGTGCCTATTCTGCTAGCGCAAGCAGGACAAGGCCACTAAGGATGGGTTTCCAGCGTCCGAAGGACTGGTTGTAGGAGAAATGGTAGGACACAGTACCGGACAGCTTCCAGCCAAGATCCAGATTTGTTTTCCAGTCCGTTTGACCCAAGCTGTTGCTTGGGTTTGGGTCTCTCCAGCAAATACCATCATTCAATCAGCACTAAGAATGTCAGGAAGCACTTTCAGACAGTGCTTTTCCAGGTATGATCACCAAACCATGAGCCTGTGGTCCAGGGGCTGTCTGGTCCCATGGGGCATCTTCATTACCAGTCTTGAGCTGCCAAAATGCACTAGAAGGCAGACTGTGAAATACAGCCTTTTAGTGGCAGGCACTTTCACAGGTCCCCTAGGCATGTTCTACCAAGGGGCAGGTAGGAGAGGAGAAGATCACGGGGTAGGAAGCAAGAGTTACTCCTCAAAACTTTCCACCGAAAGATAACTTCTGTTATCTTGCAATGGCACGAGAGGAAGGGCTGGGCAAGAAATCCCTTGCTGTGAGTCTATAGCCTGTCTGATATATGGGGTAGCCAATATAAATGATTGAAATGGACCTTCCTGGTGTTCAGTAACCCAGCCCTGGCCCCATGGCCGAATTGCCTCACTTCTCAGGGTTGGCTGGCCACTGGCACGCTGCATCACGCCTGGCCTTGACTCTCCTCTGGGCTCCGTGTGATGCTTTTTTAGCCCTGCAAAGTAATCATTACCATACGGCCTTTTCAGTCCCACGTATCTGAAATACTGTGCATGGGGCGCTCCAGAGAAATGTTTTTGTGCAACGAAACTTAGGGTAGACGTGCCTTGGAGGGAGGTGGTGCCCTAAAAGCATGCAGGACTGTTTGAGGGCTCAGAACTTGATAGGGATGGCATTGGAGGGCTGAGGGAACCAAATCTCATCCATACCACCATTTTGGACAGACACTGGAGTGAACTACGCCCATAACTGTGACCAGGCATTTCTTGGAGCCCAAGGTTGACCAGTCCAGAGCAGAGCCATGCAGGGAGACACCAGTTCAGCAGCGTGAACAACCACAGGTCCGGTGATCAAGCTTGTCCCTGGCCCTTCCTAGTGCAGAATGTATAGAACTTCGCATCTTTGATGTCTGTAGGAATATTGGGTTTAAACTTAAAAGGGAAGGTTAAAGTTGAATATGAGATTTATTGGGTTGTAGGAAAAGTACCAAAGGATTGATAAAGCATCTTTACCAATAACAGTGATTGCAAACAGAGTCACTGGGTATATGTGGACGGAAGATCTAATGGGTGATTCAAATTTCTGACTCTATTTGATAAGCTGTTCCCTATGAACCACTTTGCAGGTGCTCAGCATCCGTTTTCAGGATCTGCCCCATTTGGAAATTCACCAACTCACCTTATGATACAACACTGGTCCTTGTTGTTGCGCTGCATGTTGAAGTAGCAGTTGTCAGCAATTGCAAAGATGTGTGGTGGCATCTCACCAATCTTTTTGTTGGTGTACAGGCGTATCTGCTCAGGTGAGTAGATGGGTAGGAGCTGGTAGGGGTTTACTGCCACCAGTATTGAACCAGTGTACGTCTGGAGGAGAAGCACATGAAGGTTTATGGGGACAGTGAAATATGGCTGGGAGGCTTTGGCAACTTGGATGGAGTGTGGAGGCCAGAAAAATCAAGTTTTTTTCAAAAGCTGGATGAAGGATGATGTTTGAGTCAAAGATGCTTGCAGGGTGGAGCCTGGAGCAAAATTGGAACAAAAGTCCCGAACTATCTAAATCAGTTCATACTCAGCCTTGCTCATGCACAACATGGATTCAAGCCTTAATTCATGTTTCGGATGCTCCTCAGTTAAGATTCAGAGTTTCAAGTCAAGCTCATATTTGCAAAAATATCGCCAGAGCCAGCACATATCCATTCATATTTATTGCATTGCACAAATTATGAGAAACTAGAGATGAAAGGGACCTGGAGACCATTGCCCTATCTCAAAGCAGGACCAGCTGGATCCAAACTATTCCTGACAGATGTCTGTCTAACCTGTTTTTAAAAATCCACAACAGACCTGCTAAGCGTCCCTCTGCAATGTGTTCTTCTCTATCAATCATCTCTGCCTAACCAAACCTCTCCATGCTGCAATTTAAACCTTGTCCTGTGCACATGGATATGGCCCACAAAGTCCTGGCATATCCCTTCTCAGCTATTTCTGAGTCATTTTTGGAAATGGCTTTTTGTCCATCTCACGCTCTCTGTGGCACTCGAACGAGCAAAGCTGTTCTGGGCCTTGGGCAGCAAACCCCTTTGTGGTGCCTTGCTCTTTCGTTTCTGCCCTTCCAGAAGCCATTTCTCTCAAGCCTCTCACCAAAGGACTTGTGACCTTTGTCATCTCACTCAGATGCAGCTCTGAGGTTAGGAGGTTTGGCCACATCCCAAGCTCAAGGCAGAGAATAAAGATCTCCTTCCCCAACTTTAGCTGCCTAAAAGTTAGTGTCTAGAGCAAGCGAGTCAACAGGGCTTCATCTTGGGCTAACCAAAGAGCATGAGATGAAGGGTAGTTTCGCTCCATGACTTCAAAGGAGCCAAGTCACGTTCTCTAGGTTAACTTTTGGAAACTAAAGTTACGAGATTAATCTCACCTTTCCTTCCTGGTGGGACCAGCTGTGAAAGTGCCCCCGCTGCTGCATATTGTGGAGCTGGATGGCTTCATAGAGATAAACAAAATGACTCACAAGCTTCTGAGTAGATGTATGACCTTGGACAGTTTTGATGCCAAAATTTATGGCTCAATGTCCAGATGGAGACTGGTGACAAGTGGCGTCCTGCAGGGGTCCGTATTGGGACCGGTATTGTTTAATATCTTCATCAGTGACATAGGCAGTGGGATCGAGTGCACCCTCAGCAAGTTTGCAGATGACACCAAGCTGAGTGGTGCAGTCCACACGCCAGAAGGACGGGATCCCATCCAGAGGGACCTGGACAAGATCCAGAAGTGGGCCCGTGTGAACCTCATGAGGTTCAACAAGGCCAAGTGCAAGGTCCTGCCCCTGGGTCAGGGCAACCCCCGGTATCAATACAGGCTGGGGGATGAAGGGATGGAGAGCAGCCCTGCCAAGAAGGACTTGGGGGCACTGGTGGGTGAAAAGCTGGACATGAGCCGGCAATGTGCGCTCGCAGCCCAGGAGGCCAATCATATCCTGGGCTGCATCCAAAGCAGCGTGGCCAGCAGGGCGAGGGAGGGGATTCTGCCCCTCTACTCTGCTCTGGTGAGACCCCCCCTGGAGCACTGCGTCCAGCTCTGGGGTCCTCAGCATGAGAAAGACACGGACCTGTTGGAGCGGGTCCAGAGGAGGGTCACGAAAATGATCCGGGGGCTGGAACACCTCTGCTATGAAGAAAGGTTGAGAGAGTTGGGGTTGTTCAGCCTGGAGAAGAGAAGGCTGCGGGGAGACCTTATTGCAGCCTGTCAGTACTTAAAGGGGGCTGATAAAAAAGATGGGGACAGACTTTTTAGCAGGGCCTGTTGTGACAGGACAAGGGGGAATGGCTTTAAACTAAAGGGGGGTAGATTCAGACTAGATATAAGGAAGAAATGTTTTACGCTGAGGGTGGTGACGCACTGGCCCAGGTTGCCCAGAGAGGTGGTGGATGCCCCATCCCTGGAAACATTCCAGGTCAGGTTGGACGGGGCTCTGAGCAACCTGCTCTAGTTGAAGATGTCCCTGCTCATTGCAGGGGCTGGACTAGATGATCTTTAGAGGTCCCTTCTAACCCCAACTATTCTAAGATTCTATATATTCTTTTCAGGGGAAAAAAAAGTAATTTCAACATAAAAATAATCCTTATGGGTTTTTATCTGTGTGGCCTAAAACCAACAGTAAGCCTTCGGCACAAAGCAGCAAAGTGGCACAGGCAAGGCTGCTTGTGAACCGAGAAGGAAATCTCTCCGTGCTCTGCTGCTGCTCCTCTTTTTGTGCATATTGCAAACTGGCTGATGAATAAAACAAGCCTGAGCTGTTCCTCATTTCTGATGGCAGCAAAATAACTACCACTGCTGGGGAGAGGAGTGGAAAGGGAGACCCGGAGACACAAGCTGGCAGCCTCAGGTCGAGTTTCTCCCATCCAGCCCAGTTTCCCTCAATCATGACGGAAAGGGCTTGGATGCGGTGAGATAATTTGTTTGCCACCATCAACGCAACTTGTCCCACCAGCTCAGGCTTGCTGAAAGGCAGCCAGCCAGTAGGTGGCAATTGTGTCCCATAGCAGGGATGCTGAAAGCCCTTAGGGACTCATCACTTTCTAGCCTCATGGCCAACACCAGAGAACAACTCTCTGTTCAGTCCCAGGTGAGGTTTGAATTTACAGTGGTAACTGAGAAAGGATACAACAGTCTTCCCTGTAATAGGGGGTTACATGCCAGTAAAGGAAAAAAAGCTCTTTAAGCTCAAGAACAAAGTCGTCACAAATCCAAAGGGTATAAATTAGCTGTGAAATCATGTAGACTGGAGGTTAGAAGAAGAAGGCATTGAAATAGGGGAGCAGAGAATTCCCAGAACAGCCTTCCACAGGGACAGAGCAGGTAAGCTTTGTGCTCAGAGAAGGAGTGAGCTCAATTTCTGAATGGTATTATGCACCAAGATCCCCAGCGAACCCCAATTCTCCTTCCAGTCCTGGGTGAGATACTTGGAAGACTGTTTTCCTCTTCAAAATTTATTACCAGGTTAATTTTAGGGACATTTCTAATCTTCCTTGAGCCTCTTTTCAAAAAGACTGACCCTCTGCAGAGGTCTGAAATCCCTGTGTTTCAACCACGCTGGTCTGCCCTTCCCCAAATGCAGCCAGTGAGA